ATTGAGAGTTACCGAGTGCGATTTTGCGCTCAATGACGGTCTGTGCAGACTGGCGGAGAAAGGCCACGTACTCGCCTGCCTTGTCCTATGTGTGTGTGTGTGAGAGAGTGCCCGGACACACACACAGACACACACATATTTGTTTGTGTGGGCGTGTGCGCGGGGGCGTCTGTCTGTCTGTGCACGCTCAATAGGTACCGGAATGAGGGTCCTCTTTGTCCTTGTCGCGTCTCGTTTGTTGTCGTCTCCTCCTTGTGTGCCGGGGGTGGTTGTGGTGGTTGTGGTGAGCATGTGCTTCATCTCGCGCATCAGCACGTCGCGCATCCCGCTCATCGGGGATAGAGACCTCCTGGACAGACACACACACACACACACACGCACACACACACACACACACAGAGAGAGAGAGAGAGATGGAGATCTCGACCCACAAACATCGGTCAAGCTGCGTACCTCTCCCCCCTGGTGCTGTCCTTCTTGGCCTTTTTCTTCTTCTTGTCATTGTCTTTGTTGTTGTCTTTGTCTTTGCCGCCATCAGGCGATGCCGATGCCGTCGTCTTGCGCTTCTTGCCCTTGCTCAGCACCACCACCCCTGCTACTGCTGCTGCTGGTGATGGTGCTGCTGGTGGTGCTGATGAGCGGGCAGGGGCCTCTATGCAGACACAGACACACAGATGGGCGCAGAGAGGGATTGATGGATGGATGGATGGGCAGCTACCTGGTTTGGACGGCCTGTGGGGGTCGGGTGACGGTGAGCGATCGGCGTCCTTGTGTTTGTCCTTGTGTTTGTGTTTGTCTTTGTGTTTCTTCCGCTTTTCCTTTTCCCTTTCCTCTTCGTCGGATCTGTCGCGATTATGTTTCTCTTTCCTCTCCTTCTTGTCCTTCTTAAGCTTAAGCTTGTCCTTCTTCCGCTGCTCCTTGCGCACACGCCTGCCCTCATCATCACCACCACCAGCCTGACACCCACACACACACTCTCCCTGTCTCTCTCCCTCTCTCTGTGTGTGTGTGTCTTGTGAGTGAGCTCGCCCACCTTGCTGCCGTCTCGATCTTTCCTCTTCTTCTCCTTATTCTTGATGCTGCGATGATCGTCGTCTATGTCGTCTTCGCCATCACCCTCGCCGTCGCTGCTGTCCAGGACCTTGATGCGATGCTGCTGCTGCTGCTGATGTTTGGGTGCGGTGGGTGCACCACCAGGCTTAGGCTTCTTCTTGGTGGCCGCCGAGGGCTTGCTAGGGGCTGCTGGGGGTGCCTCGGGTGCCTGGACGCACAGACAGACAGACAGACAGACAGACAGACAGAGAGCACATATGGATTTTCGTGTGTGTCTGGGGGTGGGGTAGGGAGTGGGGTGGCTGCTTACAGAAGGTGGTGGTGGCTGTGGTGGGGATGACGACATGGCCTGGTCATGGTCAGCGGCCTTGTCATCGGCCCGTTTCTCGCCGTCGACGTCTGTCTTGCGCTGGGGCGGCTTCGCCTTGTTGGCTGACCATACACAACACAACACAACACACCGCACGATACACACGCAGATCTGTGTAACTCTGTGTGTGTGTGTGTGCTGCGCTGCGCATACCCTTGTTTCTGTTGGCCACAGCGGGTGCGTTGTGGACCAGCGCCGCAGCAGCGGCGGCACGTGACTTGCGCGACTCCCGCTTGGCCTTGAGCAGCTCCGATAAGGGGGTGCCCTGCAGTGCACGTGGCACAACCACATTCACATTCACAGACACACTCGTACGTGGCCATCCATCCATCCATCCATCCATCCATGTCTGTCTGTGTGTGTAAGTCTGCTATGGACCTCTTTGGTGATCGGGTCGACCCCAGTCAGCTCTACCTGCCGCCCTGCCAGCACACACACACACACACACACATGCATGTGTGTGTGAGGATTCTGTGTGTGTTGTGGCCGTCCATGCCTCTGAGTGTGTCGAGAGTGTCCTTCTGCTGCTCGTGGACCCCGCGGCACTTGGACACCAAGGCGTCAAAGACACCCTCAGGACTCATCTCGATCTCCATCCCTTGCCCCTGCTCTCGCTCTTCACCGCCATTCACCTCTGCCGCTGCCGAAGCTGCTGAAGCCGCCGCTGCTGCCGTTTTGGCTTTTGCCTCAATCGCACCATCACCACTCCCCTCATCGGCAGCGCCGTGCTCCCCGCCCTCCTTGTCTGCCGCTGCCTCCGTTGAGTCCATTCCCTCAACCAGTCGCGGCGGTTTCGCCCTGCTGACTCATGGCTGAAGCATGGTGATGCTAGAGGGGCTCACTACAAGTCGTATCAGGCACAAGAATGGGGAAATCAGCAACACGCCGATGATCGAATGGAAGGCGAGCTTTGTGCGAGAAGATCTCATGGCGCAAGTTGTGGCGAAAGGCGCGATGCCGAAGATACACAACGGCCGCTGACGGTTCTTGGTGTCTTATTGGTTGATTGCAAGAGCCTGTTGTGAGAGGAATCTGAGTGCTGCGCCGTCGGTGCTGGTGGGAAGGAGGAGGTCATGAATTTCGTGACATCACAATGCACGCGGCGGAGTCCGTTGCGCGCGTGTGCGCGGTGGGTGTCGACTACTGCCGAGGTGGATGAGTTGGTGAGTGAACACACCCACACATCCAGAGAGAACACCCATCGATGACACATGCTCTGTGTGTGTGTGTGCAGGTGACGCCTCACCCGCGGTATCTGCCAGACATCGAGTACACCCAGCCGAAGTACAGGGTAGGTAATGTGGGCTGAAAAAGATGGATCGGCGTATGGGTGAATGTCATGTGTGTGTGAGTGTGTGCAGGGTCCGTCAAAGGAGGAGATCCTGTCGCTGCGGCAGACGCACCACGGGCATGTCTTCCACTACTACCGGCACGCCACACACATACACATACACACACGCCCAACACACACGCACGTGACAAACACACACGCACGCATATGTGTGTGTGTGTGTGTGTGTGTGTCTGGCCACCTACTTGCAGGATGCCGGTGATGATAACGGACGGGCACATGCAGTACTTGTTTGACGAAGAGAGGAGGAGATACCTCGGTGGGCGGGAGGAATGGGTGGGTGGATACATACAGGCTGACAGACAGGGAGGGCGGGATGTGTGGGCGTGCATCTGGTGCAGATCTGTTTGGCGGCATCGTCACTGTGTCTGTGGTACGTCTGCGTCAGTCAAATGTGCATCAGATTTACTTTGTGATATTACACCATATACACCATTGCCGTGTGTGTGTGTGTGTCCTATATATGGTTAGGGTCACTGTCACCCCGAGATCGTCAAGGCTGGCGAGTCGCAGATGCGGAAGCTCATGCACACCACACACGTGTACCTCAACCCTGAGATGGTCAGACACGACACGCAGCCATGCAGTCGATTCGACATTTTGCGGGGGTGAATACAGGCCCTGTATGCCAAGGAGCTCACGGACAAGTTCCCCGGACACCTAAAGGTACACGCACACACCCGACACACCCGACACTTTCTCTCTCTCTCTCTCTCTCTGTGTGTGTGTGTGTGTGTGTGTGTGTGTGTGCATGTCTGTGTAGTCTGCCTTCTTCGTCAACTCGGGGTCAGAGGCCAACGAGCTTGCCATACTGCTGGCGCGTGTGTACACAGGTACGTTCACAGGCGGCATGCACTGCGTCCGTCTGCGCACACACATCGAACCATCGTGTGTGTGTGTGTGTGTGCAGGCAACTATGACATGATCGCCTTGCGCAACTCCTACCACGGCGCGAGCTACCTGGTGGGTGACTTACTTGCACACACCACACAGACAGACAGACAGAGAGAGGGAGAGGCGGGAGAGGGGGAGACACACAAATGGTGTAGGTGTGTGTGTGTGCAGACGATGGGAGCCGGTGGGATGCACACGTGGAAGTACAACCTCCCCATGGGCTTCGGCTTCCATCACGCCGCTAATCCCAACATTTACAGGCAACACATGACTCATAAACACACACACACACACAGACAGACAGACAGACAGACAGAGAGAGAGAGAGAGGGGCGAGTGGGCGAAAGGCGCGTGTCCGTGTGGTACGCCTGTGTGTGGTGTAGGTCCGTGGTGCCGAAGCGTGAAGCGGCCGACTTCTATGCGGCTGATGTCATGGACATCATCAAAGGCGCCACACCCGGACGGCTCGCGGGATACATTCACGAGACCATTCAGGTAGGTCAGGTGGAGGCGACAGACAAGAGCACAAAAGGGCCAGCCACAGACGCAGCAGCCAGCTTCTCTCTCTCCGTGTGTCTGTCTGTGTGCTGTGCCTGTCTGTGTGGATGTGTGTCATTCATCAGGGTGTGGGTGGTGCGGTGATGTACCCCGACGGCTACCTCAAGATGGTCTACGAGATGGTCAGAGAACACGGCGGACTCTGCATCGCCGACGAGGTTCAGGTGAGGACACATGGATGCGCACCCACCCACCCACCCAGAAACACACATACAGAGACAGAGAGAGAGGGATGTGATGTGTCCGTGTGTTTGTGTGAGTATTGTAGACGGGATTCGGCCGCACCGGGACGCACTACTGGGGTTTCGAGACGCAGGGCGTCACTCCTGATATCGTCACCATGGCCAAAGGTGGGGCACAGATTGACGGATGCACACACAGACTAAACAGATGCATCGGTGCGCATCTCTCTCTCTCTCTCTCTCTGTATTTGTGTGTGTGTGTCTCCAGGGATCGGCAACGGCTTCCCCTTGGGTGCGGTCGTGACGACGCCCGAGATCATGGAGGCTGTCAGCAGAAAGTTATTCTTCAACACGTTCGGCGGTAATCCGGTCGCTTCGGCGATTGGCCGTGCAGTGCTGCGCGTGATCGACGACGAGAACCTGCAGGTCAGTAAACACATTCACACAGACGATGGGCATCCGCACACCCGCTTATGTGTGCAGGCGCACTCGGCCAACGTGGGCACGTTCCTCAAGACCCAGCTGACGAAGCTGAAGGAGAAATATGAGATCATCGGCGACGTCAGGTGATCTGACGCACAACAGAGGCACAACACACTCAGAGCTATCTCTGATACACGACTCACTGTTTGTGTGTGTGTGTGTGTATCTCCAGGGGTCGTGGTCTGATGGTGGGCATCGAGTTCGTCAAAGACAGAGAGACGAAGGAGCCTGCCAAAACGGTACACATGCACACCACATCCAGACAGGGAGCGATGCATCGGTGTATATGCTTCGACAGGAGACGATGGAGCTTCACGAGATGCTCAAGAACCGGGGCGTGCTGGTGGGCAAGGGCGGACTGTACGGCAACGTCTTCAGGTAATTACGCGGGCAGCCACATATAACATACAACTCACACATCATCTCTCTCTCTCTCTCTCTCTCACTCTCTGTGTGTGTGTGTGGGTAATAGGATCAAGCCCCCGATGTGCGTGACTGTAGAGGACATGGAATACTTCGTGTACCACCTGGAGCAGGCCATTCGACAGCTCACCGGACTGTCGGTCACCGGACTGTGATCGGTGTGATTGGTGTGATGACCTACCGACCTTGGGCTGGGCGCTGTGTATGATAGCGGGTGTGTTGAATTGAGAGGATTTGTCTGTTCATTGGTGTGGGAGGGTGTGGCAGACGTGCCTGTCTCCGTGAATGACTTGCCCCACCATGGGGTGACCGTCCGAGATATGGGGCAACGTCAAATGACAAATCCATCACGGATACCTGGTATACTTCGCACAAGCGAGAAGTTAAGACAGACAAGTAAGAAAGATCGACACTCTTATCAATCTCACGTATGAAGCATCTCACATGTGTCGAGATGTCTCTCAAACGAAAATCCTCTCGCGTGCATATCACCATATTGGCGATACACCACAAAGGCTATCTCTGTACATGTCCCATATGTATGCACACCGGTGCACATTCGCACGCAAGTTGACTTCAACACACGCGCAGCCTCTCATCTCCGCGACACTGCCTCCAGCAGCAGTCCTGACTTCACACCCACTCGGCCGAAGGCGCTGGCGATCGTATTGACATTTTTCTGAGATGCGGCGCGAAGCTTCTGCGGAGACCGCTTGAGCTCAACAGCCATTTCTAAAGGAAACACATATCACTAAGCGGGATGACAGTCTGTGTGCCTGTCTGCCTGCCTGTCTGTCTGTCTGTCTGTATGTGTGTCTGTCTGTCGCCGACCTGTGAAGAGCTCCTGAACGATCGGCTTCACGGCTGCCCTCTCCACCTCTTTCTTCTGCCTTTTGAGGCATGACAGCAGCCGACCCATGCTAGCAGTAAATCTCGCCATGTCGTCAGCCGAGAAGTCACTCATCCTCCGCAGGGCCGCTCGAGCCAGCATCGTAATCAGTGGCTGGTCGACGGCATTCCTGCCAACGTGGCCATAGCTGGTCGCTATCTGATTTAGCTGGATCGGTTCCAGTTTTCCGTCCTGCGCCAGCGATGTGATAATGGGCTTGGCTGCAATATAAAGACGCGGACGAGACTCAGGATCATAGATCTACACACACGGACACACAGACACGCACACGGGACTCATCCAGGTATCATGGCTGAGCCTTGTGTGGGAGCGGTAAGCAGGCTTGTGTCTTACTGCTGAAGTATAGAAAAGGAAAAGCGACAGGCTGCTCTCGTAACGGTGGAAATCGCCAAGGTTGGGAATCGCCAGCTGCTCCATCCGATGGAACAGACCCTTAACGCGCTGCCTCGAGAGAACACCCCGAAGAATAGACAGTGAACGAGCCAACGATGACCAGGTCACTGGCGTAAAGAACATTATTGATTTCCCTTCGCCCTTCTCCTGTTGGCTGCACGCCTCGTCCAGCAGCACGCCTAACCGATCAGTGACGGGCTCAAGAAACGAAGCGTTCTGATTGCGCAGGTCTGCACTGGCAAAGAACACATTCGTCACATCCGCCAGAGTCGTCTCATTGATGTTGGCCAGGAAGGAAGATTGCAAGGCCGTGATAAGGGTGGGCGGACATGCCTTCAGCTTGACCATATCCCTCATCAAGCTGGCGCACTGCCTGGAACTGAAGTCATCGATCCTATTGATAGCCTCCTGCGCAATCATCTCAGTCATCTCCGAGTCATCAATGCGCAGCCGGGCTAGCGCGAGAGCGAACTGAGTCAAACAGATAGCGTCGACAGTCCCCTTCTCTCGCAAATAACCGACACACATCCCCAGCAGCTCCTTGAAGCGCCGGTCTGGCAGCAGCTGCTCGCCCCTCACAGTGATATTGTTAGTGATGTGGAATACGGCCGTAGCGGCATTCACACAGCTGAACCCCTCAGACAAGCGCTCCACGATATCGAGAATCTCCTCAACACCGCCCGCCCCGAGAATCATCTCGTTTATCTCTGTGGGAGTGGACATCAGTTCAACGACCGGCTGAATGTCCTGAGCAGATGATAGAAGAAAGGCACGGCTGAGAGCAGAGGCCAGCACCGTTAGCTTGATGCCCTGGGCAGCTGACGACGACGATACCCGTCTGTGTGTTGTTGGTGTGATGGCGATGGATCTGTGCCGTCTTCTTGGCACGATGGGAGGCGACAGGAAGGCAGAGAGGCGCCTCCGTTCGATGCTTTGCTGGCGTCGAAAGGCGTGGCTGATGAGAGGAAAGATGAGCACCACCGCCAAGACGGAAGCCATCATTGTCACAGCAGGGCACTGCATGATCAACATGGGCATTGGATGCGTTGTTGTCGATGAGTGATCAGACGGCCGATGGATCAGATCAGCCAGGTATTTGCTCAAATCCCTGTTCCATTTAAGCTCGCAAAAGTCCGATCGGTTGTGGGAGGAAGCACCTTCCATCGGCGGGAGCCCATTTCACACGCTGGTGGAGTCCGAGGCCATCTCTGTGCCAACCAACCTGAGATAATCGATATCATCGCTTTCGTTTCGTCGTGACAGATGCGCCGTGTGAAGGCCAAGCGTGGTCCCGCCGTCACGTGTCAGGCCGCCGCAGCACCGCCGCAGCTGAGCACCGAAGCAGTCGCAGAGGTCATGAAATATCTGCCCAGCGGGGCTGATGTTGGACGGGCTGAGAGGGTGTGTCGGGTGTGGCGGGAGGCCTCGCGTGTGGGCAAGCATCATGTGTGGGCGGCTCGGGTGGATGAGCACAAAGCCAAGATCGGCAATGCACGGTACGCTCAGCAGAAGCCATGAATCGGAGTGGCTTGATGGACTGACTCTGCTGTCTGTGTGTGTGGGTCGTGCAGGCTGACGTATGGCATGAGGGCTGGAGGCCGGTTTGACCACGGGAGCAGCAAGGAGCAGTACGTGGCCGCTGCGTGCACCGAGTGCGGCTCACTGGCCACATATGAGCTGAGTAAGTCTGTAGGAATCAATCCACACGTGTCTGTTTGTGTGTGATGACCGGTCTTTGTGTGTGTCCTCCGTGGGTGTGCAGCCAAGTACGGTATCCGGCTGTGCGAGCAGTGTGCGCAGGCAAGCCGAGCTACACACACACACACACACACACACACATGGATGGATGGATGGATGGATGGATGAATGTGTCAATGGTCCTCCCTTACACACATCCATACACGCAGGCCGACATGAGTGACACGACGACGTTCCCCAAGTGCCGGAAGGACCCGCACCTTTTCGCAAAACTCACCGTAGGCAATGCAGCACACACCCATTGCTGGTGTCTGTCTGCCTACCTGCCGTGTATGTGTGCCGTTTGTGTGTCCAGAAGGCGTTGTGTCAGCTGGGCGGCGTCCGTTGTGTGGGCAGCATGATGGCCATCACCCCCACTCCCCCCGCCCAGCGACGAGCCAACCGACGGCCCCGGCGGCGCGCCCAGATGACCGGCGGCATGATCGAGCTCTCGCCCTGACCCACTCAAGTGTGCACAATGGATGGGTGGCTGTTCGGTGGTGGGCGGCCATGTGATGCGTTGCGACCGATGGACACACTCTCCTCGATATGGGTATCCCTATGCCGGCACTGATGTACAGCGGGCGGGTACTCGGCGGGGCTGCATGTCAGTGTGTGGACGTGTGGATGTGGCTGGCCAGCGGTGGGATGAGTGAGACTCGCGTGTGGTGGTGTGCAGACACATGTGCATGGATCCATCTGCATGGGCCGTCTTCTCTCGTCTGTCAGTGATTGACCCATCGCCATCGTGTGTGGAGCCATGGTTCTGTACCGACACACCCACTCAGACAGACAGGTCTTCATGACTGAAAACGACAAACGGCATCATCACATGAACCAGCTTGCCACATACACTCACAGCAACTTACTCTCAGCCATTTGTCATCCGTTTCCACCCTTGTGCGCACCCAAGTCAGTCAGCACACGGCAACGAAAGCGACAACACGTACGTCATCTGTGCTGCCTGCCCTCATTCCTTGCCACGGGCCAACCCAAGAGAGAGATGGAGACCACACAGAGGAAAGACCAAAGAGGAAATGAGTGTGGGTGCGCAGACAGCCGAATACACAGAATGCCATGCCATGCAGGCCAGGCCCGTGTGTATATGTAATATGTGTCGGGTGATATGTACAAATACGTATGTATATGAATACACATACACAATACACATGGACATGGACATGAAACGATTGCACACAGGTTCGCCGCAATTCGCCGACGCAGATAACCGAGACGATGGAGGACACTTGAACGAAAATCGTCCGCTCCCAAGACCTCTCTCTGTTTGTTTCTGTCTGTTTGCTTCTGTCTGTCTGTCTGTCTGTCTGTCCCCTGCCTGTCTGTGCATCTCGCCCCACCGCCGACGCTCACGTGTGAGTCATGCCGTCGGCACACACACGTCCGTCGGCGATGAGCATGATACAAGCAGGCAAAGGATCTGACCAAGCAGACCAATGGACAGTCGTATGTGTGGAGGGAGGGATGTGACCCTCTCTCCACCTCTCTCTCACAGTTATGCCTCTTCGGTGTGTGTGTGTGGTGGTTCGCCTGTCTGTCTGTGTGCCGGCCGTGTGTGTCGGGTGCATCAACGAGAGACGGCAACACTCTCGTGAGCAACCGTCACACCAAGCTCGACCACAGACGGCAAACGAACCACTCCCCAGCAAAAAACACAGCACAGCACACAGATGCATCAGCAGCCAGCCACTCGATCCTCATTTCTGTCTGTCAGCCGTCACTGTCATTCGCTCTCCGCCCCCAACTCACCGGCCGACACACAGTAGTTCGTGGGCAGCTGACAAGTTGGAGGCCGAGTTCAAATGACAGTGCAGCCAGACAGCCAGGCAGCGACCGGTACAAAACCAGCACCACACCATGCACACATACGAATACACAAGCAGACAGAAGGAGAGAGGACACTTGCAGATCCTCCCCCAATTTCACGCCGTCCCTCCCTCTGTCTTGCCTCTCTGTCTGTCTGTCTGTCTGTCTGTGTCACTCTCATCACCGACACACATATGAACGTCAGCAGACAGGAATCCTGACGAAATCCCATATAATATCTCTCTTCCAGTGTGTGTTTGTGTGTGTGTGGACTGTCCATCCGCCCACGTACACAAAACACATGAATGATACACACATCGATGTGCGTATTCATGTGTCGGTGTCTCGTCCGCCTTCACTACAAAACACGCGGCATCCATCAACACGGTGCCACCGCACACGAACGACAAAAAAGCACAGCCACGGTCTTTCCCATCCCGCTCCCCAACACGGCAATTGACACGTGCGCAGCCAGCCAGTCAGTCAAACCATATGTGCCCGTGAGTGTGTTCGTCTGCCGTCTGTGGGACGGCCATGTGTGACGGGTGCATCGACGAGAGATGGCCACTCTCGTGAGCACGCGTACCACACTGCCAAACTAACAGACGCGGCGAGCGAACGACACCCAGCAAAACACAGCACAACACACAGATGGGTCAGCAGCCAGCCACTCGATCCTCATTTCTGTCTGTCAGCCGTCGACTTGCTGATGATGGCCGGAGAGTTTTGCTGGTGATGGGCAGAGGGCAGCCGAGCTCAGCAGTGAGGCGGGGGAGGGAGATCTGCATCTCGAAGGCCGGGGAGGGGTCTGGTGATCCAGCCTGCACTCACACAGAGGAAGATGATACCTGGATAGGGGCGTTCAGTGCATGTGTTGTGTGCTCACTGGTCTGCTGCCTTCCTTCTCCCTGAACCTCTCTCTTGCTTGAGCTCGCAGAAGAGGCCAAACGAAGCGAACCATGCGGAGGCGTCTTCCTGCCATCGTACTGTCCATTCCAGCACGCAGACCACCATCCCGATGTGCGCTAGTCCACCGCCGCAGCGCATCGTCAGCATCATCGTCGCTGCTGGCATCGTCCCGTGTGCGTCACAATGTGTGGCAGCCACCGAGCAAGGAGCTGCGTAAGCCCGACCCAGAGCCGCCCGAGCACCCACCACTCAAAGAAGATGTCATGGTGCGCTTCGCGAGAGAGAGATCTATGCGTCCACACATAGATCTGCACCATTGTTCATCAGCTGGCATCTGTGTGTGTCCGTGTCAGTTCACATGGAAGGGCGCTTTGTTTCTGTCGGCCGTGACGGCGTGAGTGAGAGATGCAGGCAGGCTCGTAATGGTTGCGATATCTTCTGTGTGTGCGTGCGTGTGTGTGTGTGTGTGTGTGCAGTGGTGGTGTGGCGATCTTCCTGTTTGAGAGGCAGCGGGTCATGACGCGCAGACGAGGTGAGAAGACGCTCACACTCACCCGACGGACCATCTCACCTGTTGTCTGCGTTGTGTGGTTGTGTCTGGTCAGTCCAAGTGGAGGAGTCGAAAATCGGCAAGCCGAAACTGGGTCGGTGAGCAGCACTCACTGCAGTGCACCGCGCCAAGCCGACTGCTTCTCATGTTTAAGTGTCCGTGCAGGTGGTCCGTGGACTTTGTACGACCGTGAGGGCCGCATCGTGTCGGACAGCGACCTCCGGGGCAAATACCAGCTCATCTACTTCGGTCAGCCAGCCCCGGCTGGCGTGGCAGCCAATGCAAACCAACAACACATCATGCGCCAAACAATGAATGGGCTCTCTCTTTCTCCAATTCTGTGTGTCTGTGTGTATAGGTTTCACCTTTTGCCCCGACATCTGCCCGCAGGAACTGGAGAAACAGGCGGCCGTCATCGAGAAGCTCGGTGGGCATGTAGTGTGTAAATGAGTGTATGAGGCACATGTAGCACATCTCCATCGTTGTGTTGTGTTGTGTGTGCAGATGCCAAGTTTGGCGAGGTCGTGCAGCCGGTCTATGTCTCTGGTACGTTCACGTGGAGCGAACGGCAACGCGCATACACACACTATACATGTATCGTCATCCATTCCGTCGATCAGTCGACCCTGGCCGCGACACATGCGCGCAAGTGGACGCTTACTGCAGGGGTAGGGTACCTACCACAACACATCACCCAACCACACACACAAGTGTGCGCGTGTGTGTGTGCGTAGAGTTCCACCCGCGCCTGATTGGTCTGACGGGGACGCCCGCACAGATCAAGAACATATCGAAGGCTTTCCGGGTCTACTACAATGAAGTCAGCTGAGCAATACACACCACGCGGACCAAGCCGAGCGGACACACATCAGTATGATGGATGTGTCTGTCTGCACGTTATCTATCAGGGCATCCGCACTGACGAGGAGGACTACCTTGTGGACCACTCTATCATTCAGTACCTGATGGGCAAGGGAGGGAAGTTCAAAGAGTTCTTCGGAAAGAACCTTACAGTGCAGGAGATGGTCGGCAGCACACCCACACAAACACGCACACACGCATCCACACCACCAACTCGTGTATGTGTGTGTGTGTGTGTGTGTGTGGTCAGGCCGATAAGATCTCCGACATCATCAAGAGCGACCAGGATCGGGAAAGGCGGAAACGAAGTCAGTCAGCCCGCCAGCCAGCCAGCCAGCACACACACACCCCTCCTGCACACAAGGTCTGTTCTTTCATGTCGTGTGTGGCGTGCGTCCGTGTGTCTGTGTGTGTTCATTCATTCATTCAGAGGGCCGCACACAGGAGATCGACGACGACGACGATTGACCGAGGAGTGGGTGGCTGTGAGCGGCCATCCATCCATCCACTCATCCTTCCACATGTATGGGGTTTTTGGTGTGTGTATGGGATGGGGGGACACTACACTCGCTGGCCACCCGCATGTGTCTGCCGAAGGCGGTGAATGAGGATGGCCTGCCGGTGCAAAGGTGTGATTGATGTGAAAAGGGGATGGGGAGGGGGGAGGGAGACCAGAAAGGGATGTTCTTTGCATGGGAGGGTGTGGTGTGATGTCTGCCAATATTGCTGCATGGTGGTGTCTCGTACTCGCGTTCAACCTTGCCCACTTGCCTGTCATCAGCAGACGAGTGGGCAGGGTGGCATGCGACTACACATACACCGCTGGTACCACAGCGGACACATGTACATGGGAATGGATTGGATTAGCAGCTGCACGTGTGCAAGATGACTCAGAAGATGTCCATCACTGTGTTTGACTTGACCGCATGGGATGCAGCCAGCAGGTCTGTCTGGCGCCCATCATCACGCCCCAACCACAGTCAGGCAGCTCACACGCTCACAACGTATCGCCCGCAACACACATACACACACACAGCCGCTCACAACCAACCACAAAGAACATATGAACGGCGTGTCCGTCCAAGGACGCGCAGCAACCAAACCAGCAACCGTTGAAACTTATCCAGCAGCCCAACCGACCCAGGCCAAACCACACACCTGCACACTGCTGTGTCTGTGTCACCGCACATTACATCACACCCCAGGGATGATGGGCACTTGCAGTGGGTGAATGCCTGTGCGTCCGTCCGTCAGGGGGAGAGTTCGATGACTTCGACCACCGAGGGCCGTGGGTTGCGTCGGTTGAAGTTGGGCCTCTGCGGGGGGCAGGGGGATGTCCACACCGTGCTCAGGCGGCCGGTGATAAACCCACGCCCGTTGAACCGCATACGGTTCAGGTCCAACAACGCCCTCTGCACACCGACAGAAAGACAGAGAGATGTGCGGTGCATTCCTCTCTCTCTCAGTGGGTATGTGTGTGAGGGTTTCTGTCCTTCCATTGCTTACCGCCACTTTGGCCATGAGTTCTGGGTCCTTGCGGCAGCGGGTGAACGTCGCCTTGTCGCTCACATCCGTCTGTACAGTGCAAATCAACACATACACCTCAGTGTCCGTTTCGTGTGTGTGTGTATGTGTCTGTCGTGACATTGGCTTGGCTTACGTCCGCGCACTCCGAACACAGCCGCGCCTTGTGGCGGGCTGCACACAGAACAGAAAACACACACATACACACACACAGGCGGATCATCATGCTCACACACAGAGAGAGGTGTGTGTGCATTCATTGCCTCCCCTCCACACTTACGCAGCTCATAGATGGCGGGGCAACCGCACTCCACACACGCAGTGTTGATGTACTGCTCCTTCTTGGTGCCGGTGTTGAAGCGGCCCTCCAACGGCATCCCGTAGGTCACCCTGATATGATTGATGCACACAAACACGCACACGCATACACATGAAATGTGTAGGTGTGCACTTGCCCTTCTCGTGTGGTTTCCCCCCGTCCATGGTTACCGTGTGCGGGCGATGTTGGCCTTGTTTTCCTCAACCCTCTCCCCCCACACATGATCACTGCCCGCATGCAACGCCTCGCGCCAAACGCGGCACACCATCTCGGCCCGTCCGATGTCAGCCCCCGTCGGCAGGAATTTCATCACCTCCCCCATGGTTTCGATGTTCAGCTGCGGGGCGGTAGGGGCAGCCTGGCGGCTGGCGCCATCACGGCGGATGGCACCACGCTTCGCCTTCACACGCCGCATCACGGCAGCCGAGCACTTGGAAGGCGAGCGATACCGAATTGGTTTCGTTTCTTATCTGGTCACTGAAGGGTCTCCAACGCCCTCGAGTCCGCCAGCACGTCGCTTGGCGGGAAACTCCCTCTTCTTAAGGTCACCACGCAATTTTTCGCGATCGGCGAGAATGGCGAGCCTAGCCGACAGGATCTGCAGATCTGCAGTAGAGAGTGGATGGTCCTGTGTTGTGAGTGAGTGGCATTCATGTGGCAGCAAGCATTGCGAGCAAATCAAGTCGTTGTCGACATGTAGTGTCCTTGCTGCAACAAATTAGAGAAAAGGTTGACATAGTGTCTCTCCCCGGACTCGATTCCCTTCCCTTCAAGGCACCCAGTCTCTTACCAAGAGCCAAAGCACACACACACATCAGCACACACAAATCACTCCATCCCCGCCCCTTCTTGCGTCTTGAGGGTGGACCGCCTGGCCCCCCTCGCCGTCGGCCGGCGCGACTCCCTCCTCGACACTGCTGCTGTCTCCCCTGCCTCACCCACTGGCTGCTCCGCCTTCGGGCGGATGAGCCTCTTGATCAGGTTGACCTCCCTCGTGTGTTCCAGCTGCTCCTTGCTGCGCTGGATCTCTTCAGACAAGCGTTTGATCTCTTCCTTCTCGGCTGCCCGGTCGGCGCGTCTTTGTTCTTTGACGTCTTCTTCGTCTTTGAGGCGCTGTTTCTCGTGTCTCTGCCACGCCCACAGCATGTCCAACTGAGCAAGGTTTCGTTCCTTCTCGCGTGCAGCGATGTTCGATGCCCTGAAGGAAAGGAATGTGAGACATGAGTACCGGCTGCAGGCCGACACGTGGCTTGTAGTGGATTGAGGACACCTCTCACCTCTTGGCCTCGAGTGAGATCTTCTCGCCTCCCGCCTTCTTGACGGCAGCGCCCTTGGTGCCCTTTTTCTCCGCCTTTGGTGCCGCCGGCAAGGCCTGGTCCTCTTGCATGGATGTCTGATCGGCCAATTCAGAGACGCAGCCGGTGAGGTGATGTGATGTGTACGTGTCTCACTTACCGCCCATCTGTGTGCGTCTTCTTCGCTGAGTGTGGGGGGCGGGATAGCCGAGGGCGGGGCTTCAAGGGCAGGAACTGGGGGAGCGGACAACTGCATGGCCACAGAGAGAGGCCAGAGACACGTGGGTGGGTGCGTGAATGTGGGTGTGCCTGCATACATACCTGCATCTGTGACTTCTTCTTAATGACGGCATCGTGCTGCATCTGCTCCTGCCGGATGCGCTTCTCACTCCCGATCCGCCTGTGGTAGGCATCAGCCCTGACACACGACACACACAAGGGGGAGCGACAGGGAGAGGGAGCCATGCACACAAGCCCATGCATCACAGATCAATGCAGCCACGTAGGTACCTACCTGTCTTTGATGGCCTTTTCCCTCAGTTTGATGTTCTCCTCCCTCCGTCTGTCCAGCTCTGTTTGTGCCCTCTCCTCATCCCTTCTCGCCGCCGCCCTCTCGCTCTCCCGGGCCTTCTGCCGCCGCACCGCCAGCTGCTGTCTCTCCTGCTCCCGGCGTCTCTCGTTTCTGTGCCGCTCGAGCATTGCACGCATCGGCTCTTTCTGCTGCTCTGTCCTCCTCGCCTCTATCTCCGCCACCTATGGACGTACACACGTGGCTGTGGACGGATGGGTGTGTTGCAGAGAGGGCACCTTGACGAGTCGTGCTGCGTCACGCTCCTTACGGAGGCTGGCCTGGGCGTCCCTTTCTCTGAGTGAGGAATGAGGACATTGCCAAGTAGTGGCATGCAGAATCAGCCACTGGTCGGCCGACCTGATTTGTCTTTCGACATCCTGCCTCATGTGGTCTCTCTCCCTCGCCAGCAGCTCCCCCTGCCTCCTCTCCTTGGCAGCCGTCTCCTCTTTCTTGGAGGCCAGGCGAGACATGGACGTCTTGTGGGAACGCTGCAGCCATCCATCCATCCGTCCATTCATCCGTGTGTGGTGTATGGCTTGAAAAAGATGATGTCTGAAAGATGGGTTGTTCCTTCACCTGCTGCTTTTCGTCAAGCCGTCTGTTGCGGCGCGCTTCGACCTGCTCCAGATGCTGCAAAGAGACAAGGGAGGGGACCCTCGTGTCTGTGGATTCTCCGCCCTCTCTCATCAGTCGCTCACTTGTCTGATAGCTTTTCTCTCCTCGTAGGAAATGTCGGCTGATGGCACCTTGTGCGTGGAGAACAGGGGCAAGGCGGGGGCAGGCGAAGTCGGCTGAGGGCCCACACTCAGCTGCATTGCATTGCATCCATGGCATTCATTCCATTCAGTCAAGTAATAATGAGAGAGGCACACAACACATAGGACTCTGTACGTGAGCATACCACTTTGTCCTTGTGAGCGGGGTCATTGGCTAGCACGAGCCTCTCCACCACCCAGCGGTACCTGGCCTCCTCCCTCTCCAACTCGCCCTTGTCGCGGGCAGACTGGCCAGAACCTGGGGACACACAGACACACACACACGTGGACGCACACACATACACATACATGGGATTCGGGCACTTACCTGTAGTCTTGTTTGCCTGTTGTTGTCTTTTGCGTGGTGTGTTGGGGGAAGAGGAGCCTGAGGGTGCTGGGCGCAGAGGGCCCGGTGGAAACAGTTCCTCAAAGGCCTTTGTGTGTCGCCAGACAAGAGAGCAGCCAGCAAATGGATGATGGATGGAGGGGTGCAGCAGCTCAGTGACGTCCACCCACCTGTGAACTGAATTCCAGTTTGTAGCACTCCTCGGGGATCTCGAGGTTGCCCGCCACGAACGTGACGCTCTGTACCGATGACCCATCCACTGACACCGCCCTGCAGACATCCCACATACGCCGCTGTAGCCTGCATTCTTGACGCATGGATGAGGGCTTTATCTCACTTGTGGACATTGATAACGAAGGGTCCTTCGGGCAGTGTCTTATCCTCCTGATGGACGAGAGTTGACACGGGGTTGTTGACGGAACGCGCAGAGGAGAAAGACGACATTTTTCGATGGGGGGGCCGCTGGGGGGTTCCGCGTCTCTCCGATCGTCGCTTGTTTTGTCGTGTCTCTTCAGCGTGCCATCAATCATTCCAGTACGTGCAAAGAGCCATCGTCCAATCCATCCACCCACTCTCGTCAGAGCAGCACAACGCAAAAATAATATGAGACCCATCATATCATGCACACACAGTCCTCCGCGTCCCTCTCCCTCTCCCCCATCTCATACCAATGATCCCTCCCCTTGAACTACTCATTTGACCAGCCGCATGGCCTTCAAAGTGGAGTCGACCCTCTCTGCGCGTGTGTGTGCATTTGCATGGGCACGTGCCTTCCCCTCCTTCACCTTTTCTTTCTCCTGCTGCTGCGCCGGTTTCGGTGGTGGTGGTGGTGGGGGAGGGGGAGGCGGTGGGGGCGGCTGGATCGCCTCAGCATCAGCTGCCGCCTGCTGCTGAGCGTCGTGCATATGGGCGATGTATTCCCTCCGTCTCCACTGCGCCCGGTACGACACCAGCACCGAGTCGTCTGGCAGCAGGTAGTGCGATGATGCGTCACTGAAGGGGTAGTGGGTGCGCCGGAGGGACCGCAGGAATGTCTGTTGGAGTGCGAGGGCGCTGGCCTTCTTGAAGAAGGTGCGGGGGTCGATGTACAGGCGGAAGTCGTGCGCCTGCCAGAGACGCACCGCCATGGCGTGGAAAAAGAGGTACGGGGCCACATACGCCTGCATAAATTGCACATATGTCATTCCATCGTTTGTGCACGCACTACATGATCGGTCCCGATGGACGGCATGCCTCTTTCCCACCGACCCGTGCAATGTGGAGGTGGACTTCGCTGAGGCGCACGGACTCCTCGGAAAGGTATACATAGCTGAGATACACCTGCAGCACGCTCACATGCGCCCGCTCCACTGCCGACAACTCCTCGCTCTCAACCGTCGAAAACAGGCGGTCGAGGTGCACCAGGGCAGAGGCCAGGGCTACCGTGATGTCAGGCCAGTCGGGCGAAGGCGTCGTGGTGACACTCTTGCTGCTGAAATCCTTGGTCATCTCACACAGACTGCGGAAACCCCAACACACACACACACACACACGCACAACATATGGGTGCGTGTGGATGGTGTTTGAATGTGGTGTGTCTTACAGGCGAATCATGGCGAGGATAAGCACAGACGACCCCGGGATCTCCAGCCCCGCCAGCATGGCGAACCTCGCAGCCACCGCAGCTTCCCACTCGTTCGCACCGTGTCGATCCATCAGCCACCCCACCGTCCGCTCAAAAGAAGCCTCACATGACTCACTCGCCGCGTCATCTAAGGGCAAGATGGTGGTCTTGATGGGTAGGGTGGATCGAGACGGCACTGATGGAGAGGGAGCCGTCGGCTTGGTGCTCCTCCTGACGACCTGCATCTGGCCGTCACGCACGAGCCGCTCCAGCTGTGGCCGGGTGATGACCATGGTGTCCTCCGTCCCGTCATTGTCAGCACAGAAGTTCGCCATCTCCCTCGGCCGGTCGCCAGGTCCGCCCCTCTTCCTCTCGCCCCGCTCCACCCTGTCCATGGTCTCCTGCAGCGTCTCCCACCGTGCCTCCGTCTTGGCCAGCACCGGGAAGGCATTGCAAGACGGCAGACGCCTCTCCCGCTCCCTCTCCCTCTCGGGAGAAGGCGATCCCCCCTGGCTGCCCGTGTCGGCTGTCGATCGAGTGGTCGATGTGCCTGTGCCACTGCCGATGGCGGCGCTGCTGGTACTGTTGGAGACAGGCGGGGGTGGCGGTGGGGGAGGCTTGCGCACAATCAGAGTCGCGGTGCTGCTGTCTTCATGTTTGGCCGCCAGACGGGCTGTGGATCGGGGCGGGTGTGGCGGGGGAGGGGGCTGCTGCTGTGGCTTCTTGGGCAAGGCAGGGCGAGGGGGAGGGGGCGGGGGACAGACAGTCGTCTCCTTCTTGCACGCCCTCTTGGTGCTGCGGGTCTGGACGGTCATCTTGAGAGACTGCTGCTGGTGCTGGTGGTGGTGCTGGTGGTCCAGCTCTATCTCCCTCTTCCTGTTGACCGGCAACACCCTCTGCTGATGGATAAGTGCAGCCGATGGCACCGGCACACCGTTCCCATTGTCCTGCCTCTTGCCTCCCCTGATAGTCTTCCCTGTCCCTGCTGCTGTGGCTGTCGCCGGCTGCTGCTTGGCTGTGACGGTCGGCATGGCCATGGACATGGACACCTGCTGGGGCAGCTCCAGTGTGGGCAGATACGCGGGGCTGTCGATCTGCATCTGGTGGATGCCCGGGGCGGGAGGGGGCGGGGGCGGCATCTTTTGGCAGTTGCGCACGCGCTCGGGCGTCTCGTTGGTCTGCCGACGCCGCCACAGCCATGAGCTTATCCCACCCCCTCCGCCCCTTTCTCTGCTCGCCGGCTTTTGCGCGTCTCGTTTGACGTCCTCCTTCCTGCCCACCGCACTAGCAGCAGCAGGGCTCGCCTGCCCCTCCTCCATCATCTGCATCAAGTCGTCACTGCTGCAATTGACACCCTGGCGCACGGGATAAGGAGAGATGAGCCCACTAAGGTCCTCCGACCGCAGCACCCCCCAGACGCTCCGCAGCAAGTGAGACGTCTTCATGCCCTTGGGCGGCCCCTGCTTGATCTCCCTATAGGTGGTCTTGGGCGTCACCTGCGTGCTCCATGCCTCCTGAGGCAGAAAGCAGGCCGGCTCGACGCTTGTCGGCAGAGACAGGCGAGACGGCCGTCTGGGTGTGACGCTCTCCCAGAGGAACGACATGCCGCTGCGAGAGGGAGAGGGCTCACTCAGGTGCGGGAGCGTCGGCTCTGCTGGGGCGGCCAGAGAATGGGCTCGATGCACTCACGGAAGGGGCTGGACACACAGGCATACGCACCGTGAGCACGATGCCGCGTGAAGTCAAGGCCGCGCTCCCTCACTCTTTTCGTACCTCATGGGATTTCGGATTTGGTCGAATATGAAGCAGAGGAGCATGAAGAAGCCCACGAGGAACGCATCGGGGGCCGCCATCTTGTCGTTTTCTCTGGCGGCCTCGATTGGGGCTCACGAAAGGACGGTCAAATCTCAGCTATATTCGCGCCGAGAAAGCTCCAGCGCCTTGTCGATGACCGTATCAAGGCAAACTAACGCAAATCATGAGCGCACGGACAGCCCCGCCGAAAGAGCGATCCCTCGGCTCGCAGCTCGCACAAGCGACAGAGCGGGGAAGACGCAAGGAGCTCACGTTGGGTTCAGGATGCGTGGCGAGAAGAACCCTCTTCGTGGTTTGGTATCGAGTGCGTTGGATGGCGATGAGCTGCACTGGGAGCGTGCGCTAGAGATAGTGGAGAAGATCCAGCAGGACAACAGGCATGCCGCCATCACGCTATACATAGTGCACAACCGCCTGGTCGGCAGGGGACTGCCGCAGGTCAAAGCCAGCCTACAGGTGCAAAGGAAACACACACGCAGAGAGGAATCATTGGAAGATGTGCCCATTCACTCTGTGTGTGTGTGTGTGTTGGATTAGTTGCTGGAGCTGTGTGTGAATTCGTGTGGCATCGCATTTGCCCGCCAGATGAGCGATGAGTTCATCCACTCCATGACCAGGATACTCAAAAAGGTATGTCCCCCTCTCCCACTGTGTGACTCACGTACCTCCTGCCTGCCTGTGCGTCATTCGCCTCGCCTGCAGGACATGAGCAAGCCCGAGACGCTGTCCTCGACTCTTGCGACCGTCACGACGGCCATGTCAGATTGGATGCTCGGGTGGGTGGGTGGCTGCGTGGGTCCCACCACACCCACACGCAGCATTGATTGCATCCTCCACGCCGTGTGATGTGTGTATGCAGTCCACCGTCGGCGAGCTCATCGTCATCGGGTCCGTCAGCTGCTGCCGGCGACCTTGCCCGCCGCTCACACACTGTGGGCGGGAGCGAGATGGAGATGCTCGAGGAGTGCCAGCAGAAGGTGCTGTACCTGCTGCAGCTCTGGACTGGTGAGGCGGTGGCAGAGCAAGGGAGGGAGGGAGGGAGGGAGGGGGTGGAGGCGGCAGCACACATGTGTGGATGGTGGCTGTGCCTGTGGTTGTCATGCATGTATCCTGTAGACGCGTTCATGCATCAGGAGGAGCAGGTCGAGCCCATCTTTAAGGCGTATAGGAAACTTAGGAAGAAAGGTCAGTCAGTGTGTCTTCCAATTGGGGAGAATTGACGAGAGATTCATGTCATGCTGTCTGTATACGACACATCAGGTGTCAAGTTTCCCCCTCGGTCAGCCAACCAGCGATTTCTCGTCCCTGACGCATCGGTCAACACACACACGCACAGGGAGGAGGAGAGATCAATGCGGCCCACGGGCCTGTCCCCCATGTGTCTGTGTGCGGTGTGTGGTGTGCACCGCAGGAGTCCCCGGCCTTTGATGAGGCCCTTGCGCACCGCCACCAGCCTGTCAACGCACTCCCCATCACTGACGCCCAGGCACGTCCGCACCCACACACCTACACCCACACCCACAGCCACGTACACACATGAGTGTCTTGTGTGCTGGATGGATGGCTCATTCGTGTGTCCAGATAGAGGCGTTGGAGCGTTCTCTGCACACTTTGCGGGTCACCAAGGACATCCGGCAGGTGGAGAAGTGCGTCAACGTGTGCCGGCGCATGAAGCCCCGCCTGGCCGCTCGCATACAAAACTACAGCGAGATACCCGCACCGACAGATGAAGACACTGAGAGGCTCACGGTAAGTGTGTGTGCAACACACAGACCCACGCAAAAACAAAAAGCAAGCGAATGCAATGCATCCCTTCTTCTCCTTTTCTCCGTCCATTCGGTCTCCAATCAGTCTTTGTTGGCGCTTCACGACCAGCTGGAGTCGTCTCTCTCCCAGATGGTGGCCGTCCCCTCGTCAGACCCCTCCCTCCCTGCGCCCGCATCTCGGATCGTCATCCGCACCGCAGACAACGCGCAACATGACAAGAGCAGACGCCTGCCCGTGACGACCAACACCAACACCCCCTCGCACCCACAGAAGAGGCCCGACAACGAGCCCATTCCCGCCCTCCCGCCGCCCACGAAGGGCAGTGCCAATATACAGCAGAGGGACAGCGGGGAGGACCACTCACACACGAGGGTCGCAAACCTGCTGGAAGAGAAAGAGGGCGATCTGTTCGACGTCGAGGAATCGACGCAAGACGTTCCTGAGCTGCTGGATGACCTGCTCGCAATGGATCGTTATGAAGACGCAGAGGCGCAGCAGCAGCAGCAGCAGCAAGAGCAGCATGAGGGGGGGTCTGCTGCCGTTAGTGTGCCTGAAAATCGCATTCTCTACCAGTCGGCGGCATGCATGGTGGTCGACGTCGCCACTGGCAAGAAGCCTTCACCACCCGAGCACGAGACGACCGACTTGCTAGGCTTCGACGATCCCCATCAGCGGCAGCAGCAGCAGCCTGAGACCCCACCCAGAGAAGGGGAGAGAGAGGCGGACGATTGGGCCCAGTTTGATGACGGCGAGAGGGTGGCGGCCATCGCATCGAATCCTTTTATCGTGACACCGCCGAGCGACAAGGTGACCCCACCCACCCCGCCGCAGGCTGTGCCCAGGCTCGCACCCCCGCCGGCAGCAAAGGTGTCTGTGTCGCCCGTCAAGCCTACCACACACACTACCACCACCAACCTGCTGGAGGAAGTCGACCCGGAGCCGGAGCACCACGTGGTGCGGTCGATGACACGCAGACAGACAGACAGACAGACAAGAGAGAGCAGGTGCATCTATCGCTCAATGTTTGCCTGTCGTATGTGTGTCACATAAAGGGGAAGGCGTTTGATGGCTTGTTCGAGACGGGCGTCGCTGACGGCTCAGGCGCCACGGCAAACACACCCCGCGACCCAGCAGCAGCAGCAGCGGATGAGCAACACCACCACCTCGCCCCCGCCCCTCATCTCGCCTCCAGGAGTGTGCGAGACATCACCCTCATACCATCGGATGGCGACAGCCTGGGTGCACCGCTGCCGCCCTTTCCATCGCCATTCGATGACGAAGGGCCGCATAATGACGACTTCGCGGCTTTCGATGCAGCTCAAGGGTCAGGCTGGCCGGAGCAAAGAGGAAATGAGGGTGGGGGAGAGCGCGAGGGTGGGGGTGAGAGCAGGCAGCAGCAGCAGCAGGTGGATCGGCCTGCCAGTGCTCCTTCGTTGGTGCCCCACCTGCCGCCACCACGGCGTGCGAGGGACGTGGGAGTGGTGCCAACACCCTCATCAGAGAGAGACAAGGGGAAGGACTTGCTCGACCTGTGACGCATGGATGGACGGATGGATGGATGGACGGGCTCATGAAAGGTGCGGGATGATTGCCGAAACAGAGTTTGTTGCGCGAAATGTCCTTGCCCAACACCATATGCCCAACGTGTCTCAGCACGGCTCGGATCACGATCGCTCCCGCAAAGCCCCCAGTCTCGCAGGGAAATCTTGTTGGGTTTTGATAGCAGGGTTTGTGCTTAGCTTGCAGACATGTCTTTCTATTTCGTGCATCTTCGGTGAGCG